TTCTCCAGCACTTCTCACTTGTGGAAATCTCTTCTGGTTTCCTGCTTTTCCTGTTAACTATGATCTTTAAAATTTAAATGCAGTGTTAGTTGTGATCTTCTTTCTTCTTGACTCCTGTTCTTTTATTGTCTTCTCCGTTTCTCTCATTCTCAGTAACCCCTTGCATCCTCATGTTTTTTATCGCCTTGATTAAGATGAAATGATAAAAAAAAAGCATTAATACTCACCTTCCAAAAATGGGATGGTATTAATGGCTTAACCAAATTCACATTACATGCAATAAAGTTGATACTTTCAACTCCACAGAAAAAATAAATCAAATGCATTTGCAAAATTAATATCCATTATTTCAAGCTTGAAGTATTCTGTTAACAAAAAATAAAGACATAGATTAGAATATTTTATCTGTCGAGTTTAAAGTACATCTCTTGCTTTAAAGCAATCAAGAAAATTCACATAAGTATAAACGTAAAAAGGAAGCACAGTGGATTAATGGATGGTGGCTCAGATTGAGGAATTGGAGAGCCGAGTTCAAATTCCAGTCAAATCAATTATATTCACTTAAGTGCTAATACCCTTGGGAAAGGTATGAATCCTCTTCTTCTCCCAACCAGCTATGGATAAATAGCAGGACTGACCAGGTTCTATAGCCTTGAATGGCAACTGGTCTACCACAGAAAGAAATGGCAACTTGCTGCAGGAAAAAAAAATCAGCTTTGTCAGTCATGTATCGAATGATACATGATCACCTAAGCGTGTATCACACATGGCACATAACTGTCTGGGAAATATAAATACACATTTTTGACTGTTTTATGTCATTATCAAGAAGTAAATGTTATCAGTATTGTAGAAAAGATTTTTGTTAGCTACATCCTAGCATTTTTAGAATGTTAATAAAGTTTATAATGACTGAAATGGTTGAAAGTACTCAATAACATGAACTTAGGCCAGTTTATCCACAATTTTGATCTGTATGGATAACAATTTAATCAAAAACAGGAAAAATAAAATATAATAACTGAACATTTTTAGTTGAAGTTAATAAAACTTATCTAAATGAATTCTTGCTCTTTAAATATACAATTTATTATATATATATATATATATATATATTCATGCATAAAAATAACGTTTCTGAATGCTTTACCCATTCATTAACAGACTTTTTTTCCCCACTTAGTGATTTTTTAAAATGGGTGCCTGTTTATTTTGAACGCTAAGTGTTCTTTTCATGTTTCTAAAAGGAATGCTTCATTTTGCCAACGATTCAAAATAATTTCATTCATTTTGCTTATTAAATTATTTATATTCTTAAGTTCTATAATTTTTAGTTTCTCCACTATATGTAGATTCAAAATAAATAGGCACCTATTTTGAAAAATCACTAAGCAAGAAACAGGCAGTTAATGGGTAAATCAATGAGAAATGTGTATGAAAAAGCTCTTTTATTAAATTTATTTAAAATAGAGGACTCTTACATTTTATTGTCCTGGGTAAGACGTTAAACTACATCCACATCCTGGGTGACGATAAACTACATCCAGCAGTAAGGCCTCTGATCAGGAGGTTTTGAGGCGAGTGGAACCACCTCTTAATTGCTGGTGTTCCTAGGTCCACCCTGACACAGGGTGGTAGCACCTGTTAGGGTCCCAGCTATGGGCAAATAGTTAACTATTACCAGCTGTAGAATAACAATACAATAAACGACACTTACCGGTGTAAGAGTTCCAGCTAGCGTCCAGCTGGCAGACAAAAATAAAGCAGGTTGTAACTTAATACAAACCCTGCAAACTAACTGAAATTAAGCTGGTATTTATATAGAAATACTTCCACTCAGGTACCAGCAGCCAATCACAGCCCAAGCAATGGACTATCCCACTTTAGCATAATGAGATGCTCCATTGCACCATAAATAACTCTTCCTCAATGTTGAATCATTCTTCACTCAGCTTGCTCCACAACTGAGTGTTTATCTTGACCACGTGATTGTTTGACACCAGCAATACTTTTTCAAAAAAAATTATTACCAGCAATACAATTTTGAAGGAAAAATATTGCCAGAAACAGATTTTTGACAAAACAAAATATTACCAGCAATAAAAATGTTGTCGGCATTAAATAATCCATTGAGGTTGATATGCCATAAAACAAAATAAACCAAACCTTACATTATATATATATATATATATATATATATATATATAAAGAATGGAATATACAAAATATATATATTATATATAAATATAATTATAATATATTGCACATATAGTGCTGGTGTTAATAAAACAGTGCTCAATGTACTATAACAGAGCTATTAAGTATATATTGTTAAATATACATATTACACTTTGCTGCTGGCACAACTCAGAAATTTCATGCATAACACAATCTTCAGCAACATATGCTTGATTTGTATACAATATTACCGATAATATTGTATACTGAGCAAACATACATTCCTGTAACAATTTTAAATTTTATTTTGGTTCCACTGATAATCCTTGGAAATTTCATCTCTACTATCATTGAATGACTTTAGGTAATATAAAATACAGAAACAGTACTGCTCTCTCTAAATATTTCTGGCTATTAAAAAATAATGGTAATTCCCCATCTATTAACTGGGATATTATAGAAAGAGCCAAATCTACTAACAGAAAAGGAAACAAATGCAAATAATCTGAGCTTATTAAACAAGAGAAATGAATTGATGATTACATGTAGGCATAAAAATAAATATCTGCTGAAATATGTTGATCCAGATTAATTTTTAATGTAAATTATAGTTTATTTTTAATGTAAATTACTATTTATTTTGAAAATAAATTAATGTTTTTTTCATATAAGAACAAGTAATCTCCCTTTTAATTAAAAAAAGTTTTAAAAATTAAGAAATGAATATTCACAACTCAAAAATAAAGTTTTTAATTTTTTTTTCTTACATACATATATAAATCCTGCTTATTTTAATTGCCAAATATATTTTTAAATTAATAAACCATAATCCCAGCATAATATACAACTACGCCAACATTATAATAACCAGTTATATTAAAATTCAAATTACATAATGGCCAGTTCATAATCAGCACATTGCATTGTGCATGAAACTTTGAGTCATGCTATCAGTGAGGGATAATATGTATCTTTATTATTAATATATATATATATATATATATATATATATATATATAATTAATACAAATATAAAGTTTGTGACTTAGCTGATTGGTGTTACTTTCAGTATCCCATCTCTGGTGTTTCATAGACAAACCCTCCAGCAATCACTCTGTCCCTCCTTATGATACATCAACAAATATATATATATATATATATATATATATATATATATATATATATATATGATCAATGAAGAGATTACAAGTGGACATCACAAATTTCATCTTGCTCCACATTTTTTGTTTTTATTCAACCAGAATAGTACCCATCAAAACTGACAATAATATTGGCATATGTATTGGCACTTTCACCTCAGAGTACATATATTCCTTAAACAATTAACTCTATTGTTGCAAGTTATTTTTATGATCTAAAAGAATTTTAATATAAGAGCCAGAATAAAATGTCTTTGTTGAGGTTTATATTGTATTTTTTTATATTTCCTTCTGCTTTAAATATATTTATAAACAGGTATACTTATTTTAAAACCTTTTACTACATACTCCTTGTGTGTCTCTCTCTCTCTCTCTGTTGATCTATCGATATATATATATATATATATATATTTCTTTATTTATATGGAAGAGGTTATAGCTGTTCCAATGAAAGAAAAGTGTATATTTAAAAAAAAAGAGAGAAATTGCAAACGTTTTTGGTTATCATGAGGATCTTTTTATATATATATTTTATTTTCCATAATTTTGCTATATGCCTTTCCGGTATCATGACATTCTTCAGGCAAAAGTGGATATTTCCACATATTATTAAAAGGAAGTAATTTTCCTTATGTTTCTTCATGTCTAACCATTCTTTTTTGTGTAGTAGTAATCCAAATGTTATTCTTGTACTGGTCACAAAAGTGTTTTTCTGCTTAAGGGGTAATAAAGTAATTAGGATTGGTCCGAGAAAGGACATTTTTGGTCTTATCTTTTCATGGCCCCTGTATTTTCTTAGATCTATTTCCATTTTTACGTATTGCATGTGTTTTTGCTTCTATGCACATGTATAGTCCCTCTCCATACATAAATACTGTCTTATTATAGGGAATCAGTATATATACATACACACATACATACACACACACACACACACACACACTTTCTATGTTGTGTAGGGTTTGTGTATGCATATATATATATATATATATATATATGTGTGTGTGTGTGTATTTTGAAAGTAGATTAAGTGAATGAGCTAGTGAAGGAATTGATGTGTCTAATGTGGTTACAGCATAAGCTACTTTTGTTGTTACATGGTTGGAAAATCCTGTTGTTTTTATTTTTGGTTTATTATCGATTATCCTATCCTTTGAAATGTGTTTTTTTATATATATATATATATAATTATTTATTTGAAAATTATAACATAAATATGTTATAAAATCACTACAAAAATAGCCATTTTGTTTCAACACTTCTGGTGACTTATCAAGTGATGGTGTTGAATGTAGAATAAAGGGTTTTATTACCAATTTTAAATTTAATCTATATTAAGTTTAAAAAATTATAAAATTATTTAAAGAAGAAACTGAGGGAAAATACATATGTTTTGTTATTTATTTTGTTTTTATTGAAATGCCAAAAATTAGGTTGGAATAAACATTAAGATCTAAAATCTCTGTGCTCTGTTACAACTCAAGATACATTTGAAGTGAAGATATGGGCAGGGGAGGGTGAAATCTTGCAAATGACAATACATACACAATCAGATTATAATGCACAAACATGCTGATATATTTAGATATATAAACATGCAAAAAAGCGACGAGGCAGGAAATAGGTGTCCATGACCCTTAAAAAGACAGACAACATACACATACAATGAAAGGTACACATAAGCGATTATACACACATACATTGATAAAGACACACACATATACCCACCAAGAAATATTCAAATTTGAAAGTGTTAGTAAACAAATTCTAACATACTATTAAAATATAACTTATATGGGTAAAGATATATAGATAAAAATAGTTGAATAGATAAAATTTAATATGGGTAGAATAGAAAAACAAATATTCTTCAATGAACAACATAAGGAGAAAGGACACTAAAATATACAGAAATGGATAGAAAAATAAATATATACACATAAAAATAACACTAATATATAAAAAAGAAAACTCCTAAACACAGAAATATATATAAATATCTCATATATACTTATATATATGTATTAGTACAGATACATGAGTACAAATATATAACAATATGTGAAAGAAAATAAAAATACATACAGATGTATGTATATACACATTCTTCACTACAGATAGATACATACAAAAGTATACCCACGCACATACATATACATACACATATACCTATATATGCACATGCATATATATACACACATAGAAATGGGCACCACTCACTGTGTGGTGTAATGGTTAGCAAGCTTGTCTGACTAAAAAACAGTTACGACTGAATAGTGAGTTCAATCCTTACTGGATGCCACATACTTTCAACCTTGTGCCACATCTAAGCTATGCTTGGAAAATCACTATACACACAGAAATAAATATATCAACCTACACAGCAACATAAAAAGTAAATAAACTAAATATATATATATATATATACACACACGCACACACACACACACAGATATATATATATAAAAGCCAGTTTGTGCAATTATATATACATATATATATATATATATATATATATATATATATATTTGAATGTGTGTATGTTTATGTGTTTCTATGTATATATGAATATATCTGTACTTGTAGTTATATGTTTGTGTGTATATTTATATATATATATTTGTATGCTAGGTCACAAAAATCTCCTGAGTTGACCAAGCATAGAAATGAATACAATATGGGAACCAGTAATAAGAAGTGCCAGAGAAAAGCAATAATAACAACAAAAATTGCAATATGAGCTCTGGTAAAGAATGTGCAATGATAACAGCAAAAATTGCAATACGAGCACTGGTAAAAATGGCTGCTGAAGACATTAGGTTTATAATACCCAGACACAGATGTCATCAAGGACACATGGCACAGTGGATAAAGGTGTTGGTTAGATCCAGTGACAGGACCCAAAAGAGTGTGAGTTCAATGAACTTGGAGAGGGAATTAAGCAGGAGATAACTAATGACTGACATCCATTAGACATGGCACGTGGAACTAGAACAGTCTACCCCAGTGAGCGAAATATAGGGTTCAGTTTGACATTCCAGCCACCTGAAGAAGGCAGAAGTGTACAACGGCCGAAATGTAATAAATATGGCAACAAAGATGAGGACAATAGTCTGAATAATGTAACTAGTGAGTGTGTGTATGTGTGTGCATATATATATATATATATATATATGTCAGTTTTTACAATTATATATATTTGACATTTTTATTTTTTTTTTTTATATATATATATATATATATATATGTCAGTTTTACAATTATATATATTTGACATTTTTACAATTTTATATATATATATATATATAAGCCATTTTATAATTAAATATATATACGAAATATTTTTTTACAATTATATATATATATATATAAGCCATTTTTTACAGTTTTATATATATATATATATATATATATATATATATATATATATATATATATATAAAAATTTTTTTCACCATAAGTAAATGGACTGAATCACTATCATAAGGGCATGGTACAAATATCAATATTTCACTTTTACAAAGGTCAGTTTTCAATGCACTTAATCCAGCAAATGATGTTCATTTTAAGACATAGGTTTTGTAAGCAAGTTTATCACTTACTGCACTAGTATCATAATACTAAAAATATTTTGATTGTCAGTATTTTGGGAGATAATAATGATTTACTGATTAGCATCTTACTAATTAACCCATAGATGTGGTGAGAAGAGGTGGATTCATACCTTTTCAGAAGGGGAACTTATGATGTTGCTTAACTTTGGTGATCAGACAGGAACTGGTGTTTCATTGTATAATGTGTTGAAGATAATATAACTTCTTTTTATTTCTTTTTTTATTTTAACAGGTGAGAGACGTGGCATTGGTGGAATATTCTTTGATGATTTAGATGATCATGATCCTGAAGAGCTCTTTAAATTTGTTCAGGTAATTCATTCATAGATTGTCAGTGATACACAATGCTCAATAAGACTTCCATTTCTTTTGAAATGCTGTCAAAAATGTTTCAAATGACCTTGCATGTTTTTCTGATATGTAGAATTACAAAACTCTTGAAAATGGTTAGAATCTCAGACAGAAACTCACTCACTGTCCAGTTCATTGCCTACTTTCTTTGAAACAATGGTTTAATGTTTTGGAAATACAATTCACTGTATGTCTCC